CCCTGTGATCAGTCTCACCAGCAGTAACCGCGCAGGCAGAGCTGACCCCAGATCCCTGCCGGGCAGGGCATGCTGGGTGGTGACACCGCGGCATGTAACTTCTTTAGAGAAAGGGATCTCTGTGCCTCAAGCAAACCCTGCCCATCGTGTCTGTGCCCCTGGTTAGCACAGCTCTGAAAAGCCTCTTCCTCAGACCCCTCAGCAACGTGACCGCCCTCCAGAGCACACGGCCTGGTTCCTGATCCTGGGACCCAATTCCTACCTCGCTCCCCACCTGCTTTTCTCCTCACCTTCCCACCGGGATTTTTTTTTTTTTTTATCCTCACCGGAGGACACTTTTCCATTTTTTGTTCAGATAGAGTGGGAGGGAGAGAGAGGAAGAGAGAGAGAGAGAAACATCGACGTGAAAGGGACACATCGAGTGGCTGCCACCCGCACGACCAACCAGGGCCGGGGACAAACTGCAACCGAGGTACGTGCCCTTAGCGGGAACCGAACCCGGGTCTCTCCGGACCGCAGGCCGATGCTCTAACCGCTGAGCCAAACCGGCCAGGGCCCCACCGTGATTTCAAGTGTGTACACGAAACTGCAAAACCTCATTCTCTGTGGCGTCTGGATTCTTGCTCCCCAGCTCATCAGTGTGGCTCCAATGAGTTCTTATACAAATCCTTGACGCGTTTAGAAATTTCGTATGTCGACATGTACTTAACGTAGCCGGCAGGATTCTGAAGACGCCCACCCGAGACCACCCCTCAGACCCAGCCCTGGTGCTCGTACAGTTGGCCCTGCGTGAATAGGGGGTGCTCTCCCGGATTCCTGGGCCCCTGGCTTTGAGTCGCAGCTCCTAGTTCTGTCTCAGCTGCTCTCGGGACACCCTGGAGCCGGAGACTGCTGTTTGCTTTTAATCACAGTGCAGCTTAGCTACAGGGGACCTGTGGACAGAAGCCAGTGGTCGAAATGCTATGGGGTTCACGGAGGACACCCACTCCCTCACAGGAAGTGCGATCTGACCCGTCTCCGCCAATGCTAAGGAAAATCTAATGAAACCAACTAGCCTTGGGCGGAGACAAAAGGATTGCTCCCTTTCTCGGGTTCCTCGTGCAGAAAATGTGTCAGACACGTCCTGCCCTTGAAAATCCCTCCCGGCTGGAGCGCACCTGTGCGCACCTGTGAAGGAGGCAGACTGTGGAATCCACCGGAAACAGGGCGGGTGGCCACGGGAGTCAGGAGGGCACAGGAGGAAGGCCAACGCCATGACCACAAGGAGCGGAGTTTCCACGGGTGTCAACCCAGGAGACACATCCGGAGGGTGTGACCCAGAGACGTTAACCTCTCTGCTCACCAATCTGCTCTCCTTTTATTCTAGTGTTTCTCTTTGTACCACGGCCTCTAATTAATGCTACTGAATTTGTGGATTTACTCAAGAAAGGACGAACCCCAGTTGTCTAGGAAGTTGATACGATCACGGCAGAACTGTCCGTTCCCTCCTGACCCACCGTGTTTCTCTGAGTCGTAGGAAAAGCCCCTTCTCAGGCCTCATCTGTTCCAGACACAGACGTGGGCGTCCCAGCCCCTCTGACAGTGGGCGTGGGCTTGGACGGACCCTCTCTGGCTGGGGGGCGTCAGGATGGCAGGAGATGGGGCTCCACTCTGTCCACGGCCACCCCGGGAGTCAGGGTGAGGCCTGAGGGGCGCCGGCTCCCGTCAGTGTCTGCCTTCGAGGGGGGCTGTGTGTCCGCACATACGGCTGGGCCGCTCTTTGAGGAGCCGTGGTCCCCAACACCCCGAGGCCGGAGAGCTACCCCAGAGCATGTGTGAGGACGCCGAGTGTTACCTCAGGCTGAACAACCAAGCACCTAAGTGTGTTATGATTTTTACAGTGAATGTATAGATACTTATGTATGAAATAAAATAAAACACAGATACTTAGGTATTGAGGAAAATAGATACTTACGTACTGAATACAGATACTTATGTATTGAAGAAAACAGTCATTTAAAATCTTTACCTAAATCCTAACTATGTAATTTAAACAATAAAAGGGATAGACAGAGAGCATTATAGGAGTATAGTTAGAACATGTAAGACTATTAGACATATGCATGGATGTATAGGATTCTGTGTATGTGTAGAGAGTGTTTGTTAATTCTTTTAGTCTGAACCGTGGGAACCAAATGTTCTAAAACTTGTCACATGTGGACTTGAGGGCACCCTAGAGCATCAGGTGAAACACCTAAAACGGCACCTATGCGGACAAGGGAGTGAGGCAAAAGGAGCAGGAGAGAGTGTGTCTAATGTGGAAACACAGCATCTGGCCCACAGTACAGGCTCGGAGAGTTCAGTCATCACTGCCGATGCCCGTCACGGGTAAGGGAAGTACTGGGGCAGGTATGTACATACGTGCATCTAGTTATATAAACTGGCAAGTCAATTAAAACAGTTCCCAGCCCTGGCCGGTTTGGCTCAGCGGTTGGAGCGTCAGCCTGCGGTCCAGAGAGACCCGGGTTCGGTTTCCACTAAGGGCACGTACCTCGGTTGCAGTTTGTCCCCGGCCCTGGTTGGTCGTGTGGGTGGCAGCCACTCGATGTGTCCCTTCACGTCGATGTTTCTCTCTCTCTTTCTCTTCCTCTCTGTCCCTCCCGCTCTATCTGAACAAAAAATGGAAAGATGTCCTCGGGTGAGGATTAAAAACAAACAAACAGTTCCCAGCCTGAAGTTGATTATTGCGTCTTCTTGCTCCCGTGACACTCTGCTCGCACTAGGTTGTGCTGTGTCACAGTTCACCGCAGTCATTTCTTCACAGGGTCCCTTGCCCAGCAGGCCACGTGCCCTTGGACGGAAACGATGGCATCTCACCTTTGTATTCCTAAGACGTAGCGCTGTACCCAGCACAGGGGTGAGCCGGATACAGTTTTAATGCATGCATTTAAAAAAATCTCATAAAATGTACTGGAATTAATACCAGAGAGAGAGAGAGAGAGAGAGAGAGAGCACTATGGGCATAGTGGTTCCTGGGGCTGGTGCATTTACACATGAAGACTTACAAGACAGTGTAGAAAGAAACTCAAAATTTTGCGATAACTGAGAGGGTAATCATTTGCGTCCATTAGAAGAATTATTTAATCTCTTAAAATGTAACATCGCATTTGTGATATTAGAACTAAGAACAATATGTGCCTGTGCTTTACGTTTTCGAGAACCTTTCGTAAGGGGGCTGCCGCATGAGAAGCCTTTCTCTTATTTCGTGCGTCAGGACGGGAAACAAAAGCTGCTTGAGTTGGCTGAGGTCGTACCACAAGGTGGTAGAGTTGGGACTCAAACCCAGGTCTTGTAACTTCAAGACGGATGGTTTCAACAAGGCATGGAACATAGCAGTATCACGCAACACGTGAGTTGTCAGAGGAATGGTCACGGCCTAGAACAAAGAGCCCTGGCCTTCATCTAGAACATTCTAAGACAATGTAGATAGTCCAAGCATGAAATAAAGTTATGGAAAAGTCTTACTTGGTAGCTTGTAAGGAATGTGTGTGTGTGTGTGTGTGTGTTTTGTTTTTAATATCCAACCTCTCAAACCTATTATGGGTACAGGGTGCTGCTCAGGGCTGAGAAATAGGAAGGCACAGATGTGTTCATGGGTCTTATCCCCTAGAGTAAAGTATGGTGAGTATATCAATTGGAAAATAAAATATCAAGAAATGGCTTTAAATAAACTCCAATGAGTGAGCCCGTGTGCATGCATTCACTGCCCAGAGAAGAACCTCTGCTGTGTTCACACATACCCGACACGCAGGTCCGGAAGAACATTTAATTATTTACTCCTAGCTAACGCAGACACAATTAATGCAATTAAACGCTAACCGCCCCTTAACGAACATTGTAACCATAACCGAACTGCCTGTTTAATAAAGGCAGACATTCGGTGAAGCCACAGAGCCAGAGCTCACTTTCATCACCTCCGTCTCGTCACCAGAGATTTCCACAGGCGTCTCCATTTCATGCACTCGGTAGATTGTATCTTCACAGAACATTTAAGAGCTTTCTGCCTGATGAAACGAAGTAGCTGGCAGTGAAAAGAAAGTCAGGTCTGCCTGCTGACAGGATTTCAGCTTTGGAAGAGTCTTTCCAAGCCTGTTATAATGCCAGCCTTCCAAACCCATTCAGCCTTTGTGCCTCCCCCTGACTGCACCCAGACGAGCCGAGGCTGCAGAGGTACAGCGGAGGGGAAAGGTCAGGTTACACACCACAGCCGGGAGGCTCACTGCTCCCAACACCAGCCAGGAAGAGGTAAGCTGTTAGCAACCAGAGCAGATGCAAACACCAGGGCTGCAGGGTGGAGCGGATACTATGTAGCAAACCTGGAACCAAGTAGCCAAATGAAACATTTTGACTGGTGAAGGGATGAAGGAAACTTGAATAATTAACTGAAATATGGGGGAACAAATCAATGAAAAAAAAAAATCGTCTAATTCTTAAACGATCTGTTTAGAAGATCTTTTTTAAGACAATTAAAACACTTTACAAAGTAATGAGTTAGTTTAAGCAAAATGAGATGAACCCTGTTTTTCTAAAGGATAAAATTACAGGAAGAGTAAGAACATGTCGATAATCCTATGTTCGTTTATAGTTCATTTACTTGAAAAGATATATTTTCCTGCCCGGCTGGTGTGGCTCAGTGGTTGAGCATCGACCCTGCACCAAGAGGTCACCGATTCGACTCCCGGTCATGGCACATGCCCAGGTCGTGGGCCCGATCCCCAGTGGGGGGTGTGCAGGAGGCGGCCAATAGATGTTCTCTCTCATCGATGTTTCCATCTCTCTCCCTCTCCCTTTGTCTCTCTCAATTCAATAAATTCATTTTTGTGTTCCCTCTTCTATCAGCCTATCTGAGACTATCGAAAGTTTTCTCTATAGAAAAACCCAGACATTAAATTTAAACTTTCTTGATACAGTATTTTGTCATAAAAGCCCAACCCACAGTAGCAAGGCCGTGGCCGCCTTACCGTCTCCTGGGTCGATGATCTCCACCGTGGTGACGGCAGGGGCCTCCAGGGCGGCCAGCACGGGGCCCGAGAGCACCACCTGGAAGGTCTCCGACTGCTCGTGCTCCTCGTCGCTCAGGACGTGGACTCTCCACGTGGCCCGCGTCTGGCCTGGGTTGAACTGCACTTGCTTCTGCGCTTTGCCCTTGAAGTCTTTGTCCCTTTCCGCGGTCCCGTCTCGGGTGCCGATACCTTCACAGAACCACACAGGCACGCTTTTGGTTTCGTTTCTGTCGAACGACTAGGCTTGCCCTGTGAACTCTTCCTGCATTCCTTGGTTGAGCCGTGCAGAGTCGGCCCTGTTCGGATCCCCTGAGGTGGGTGCCTGGGGAGGGGCCCCCCGGGAGAGTGTGCCACTGTGGGTGTCGAGCGGTTCCTGGGTCTGTTCTGCCTCGGCCCCGCTGTGGTTCCACTGTAGATTCTTTAAGCTACGTTTGTGCTAGAACCTCCAAGATGGGTAAAAAATAAGGATTCCCTTTTTATAATGAACACATAGTATCTCCTGTGCGAGTGGTGCTAGTCTGCTTTGTTTATGGGCAATTACTGACAGAGAAAGGTCTTATGCAGGTTTGAGGAGGTATATATTTTTGTTCATAAGCCCTAGTTTTACAGATTTTGTCCTGGCGAGTTAGCCTTGACACAAATGTGAGGCGTGTTTCTTGAGGAGTGCAAGGACATTTAAATGTCAACGTCTCCTCGAGCTTTAAAACCAGGGCGGTGACTAAAAATATTTTAATCATCATAGTTTTGAACGTTTGCTAGAAAACTGGGATTTCGTGACAGAAGTGCACATTGAACTTACTTATAAATGAAGTCTCTCCCAAGTAACCTCTACGTTTCAGAACGACGTCCAGAAATTTGGATTCCTCGTTGATCAGGTAATACTCCTTTTCAAAGGAGATCCACGCCCAATTCAGGTGAAAATGCTGAGTGGGTAACTTGTTTCTGCCTGGAAGACAAAAATGTAAAGCACCAAATGAGTGCTTAATTGAACGAGTAACTTTAAATCGTCCCCAGACTCCTTAAATCAAGAATCACTCACTATAGCTACTTGGTTTGGGACACAGCTCTGGGAGGTGTACACATTGATGGCCCCCGTGTACATTGTTATGCACATACACCACAGCCGACATCATTCGTCACACCACCCCTCAATCTTTAGCAGGAGACACTGGCAAGGGGGGAGGAAGCGATTTCACTGAATCATAAAACCAAGTGTCCAAGTTGTAGGGTGACTTACTTCCCACAAGATGCCGCCGGGGAGCTCGGCTTTTCCACAGCGAAGGCGACAGGGCTTATTTGTGATGTGAAAACACACAGAACTTCACAGATTAACCTTTTCTGGTTGACTGAGCCATTGGGTGGAAGGCTTTAATTATAACCACTTAAGAAAAAACAAATATCGCAGCCCCCGCCACCCCGCTCCAAGATACTGCACTTCATTCCTGAGAACAAAAAGACAGCTCTTTTCATCCATTCCATCCCCCCGAAGATAAAGCCTCCCCCACCTCGCTGCCGACCTGGAGCCAGCTGCCTATCGGGGAAAGTAAACCTTGTGTGTGATCTTTCTAACGTGTACGTTGCTTCACGAGGTGAAAGAAACGAGTGGCGGTTATCAGTCGATCCCTTTGCACAGAACCTCCCCCTTCCTTTGATCTGTGCCAATTATTGCAGAGAAAGGTGCAGTTTATACATGAAGACATCAGTCATTTCTTTTAAGTCTTTCTGTAAAAATCTGGAAGAAAGGCCAACTAATAAACACAGCTACAAGCCCAGTTTCGATTCCAGCTTCCTCTCCTCCGAGTTCACCTTGAGAGAGCTACAGTGGAGAAGAACAAAAGACGACGGGGAAACACCAGGACTTTAATAAACTGATGACAAAACACGAGGGGAAACATTGTGAGTGAACAAAGGAGGGAACAAGTGTTCATCTTTGCTCAAAAGTTTAAAAATAAAAATTGAAGCGACTTTGCGTTATCAATTGGCTCATACTAAAGATTAAAAAGAATACCAGTGCAGCCAAGATTCTGTAGGAAAATTGGTTTTCTTGTTTATTGTTGTGTATTCTTCTATATTTCCATGCTGAGTAAATTGCAGTAATTTATCTACATGTATGTGTGTCTGCTTCTAACTGCCTGAGGACACCGGCACAGGTAAGGGTTTAGTTCATCTTTCCAGTCTCCAAGTCCCACAACAGTGTAACAAGGGAACCTTGAAATCTAGTCTACCTGGCAGGAGAACCTTGAAACCTATGGGGGAAAAAAAGTATAAAACCCTTGAACCCCTCTAGACAGGGCGCGCAGACTAGCTGAGTTGCCTGTTTGTGCTTTATGCCAAGTCTATTCCTTAATATATTGCTTTGCTTCTCTAATAAATTCACTTTATTTTCTTCCTTAATACATGCATTTGCTTTGCTTCCACACGACTTTCTGTCGCTAGTTTGAATTCTTTCTCATGAGCGTGACAAGAGCTAAGGAGGGGAAAGCCACCACTGACTCGAGCAGATCTCCGGTAACATCTTTCTGGCACCATGACTCAGACTGCTGACTCACCTGCTTTCCTTTTGATGGTAACACAGGAACACAGCAGGTTTTTCCCGGTCAGTTAACTCTTCATGCATGTGGTAGTTTCCTCCAGGAATAAAGGGGGAGCAGTGGCATGAGGGATTAGGCGATTGGAATAAGTAAGGTATGTTCTTGACAGACATGAAGGATGTCTGGCCTAGGGTCCCAAGGAAAGAGGCAGTTTCTCCCTCCGATTTGAGTCTCAAATGTCCTTACATGAGTAGGGGCCTTGCAAACGTGTTGGGGTTGAAGCCCAAGGTGTGAAGAGGCCTCATAGGGACCTTCATCTTACTTGCAATTAACTAACTGGTTCATCCAGGGATGCACCCACAGGGGCTGGCCATTCAGTGCTCTGAGACACGCCCGTGGTTTCAGATGGCTGGGAGAGAAACCGAGACAGATGAGAGAATGTGGGATGACCAGAAGGGTAATGGCTTTTGGGAGCCCCACCCACACACAACACACGGAGACCCACTACATGTAATCACCAGTCCATCTGTCCATAGACAGGACTGCTAAAAGAGTAAGTTTACAGTCACCCCTCGTTTATCGCAGTTAATCCGTTACAGACTCTAGGGGTTGCACCTGCCATTGAAGGATTCCCAGGGTGCTCAAATCGGTTTACAGTCTATAGTAACAGTCATTTTAATTTTAATTGTAATACTGGGGTGTATAGTTGACTCAGACAACCAAGTGCGTGCAGTATCATTTTCACTGTCTCGATCAACTTTTTTTATTTTTTAAAATTATTTTTATTAATTTGATTTTGTTACAGACATTTCTCCTTTTTCCCCCATTGACATCCTCTTTCCCATCCCCCACGCCCCATCCCCAGCTTTGCTGTCTGTGACTACTGGTTATGCTACATGCATGTAAGTTCTGTGGTTCATCTCTTTTCCCTCCAACATCCCCTCTTCTGAGGTCTGTCAGTCTGCACCCTACCTCTATGTCTCTGGGCCAATTTTGCTCATCAGTGTTTTTTAGTTCATTATATTACACAAATAAGTGAGATCATGTGATATTTGTTTTTCTCTGCTTGGCTTGTGTCGCTTAGCATAATACTCTTCAGGTCCCTCCATGTCATCTCAAAGGAAAAGAGATCTTTCTTTCTTACAGCTGCATAGTACTCCATTGTGTACATGTACCACAGCTTTTTTATTCACTCATCTACTGATGGCCACTTGGGCTGTTTCCAGATCTTATTTATTGTAAATAGTGCTGCTATGAACATAGGGGTACATATATTCTTTATGATTGGTGTTTCAGGCTTCTTAGGGTCAAATGGCAGTTCAATTTTTAACTTTTTGAGGTAACACCATATTATTTTCCATAGTGGCTGCGCCAGTCTACATTCCCCCCAGCAGTGTACTAGAGTCCCCTTTTCTCCACACCCTCGTCAGCACTTGTTGTTTGATGATTTGTTGATGGCGGCCATTCTGACAGGTCTGAAGTGATATCTCATAGTTGTTTTAATTTTCATCTCTCCCATGATTAGTGATGTTGAGCATTTTTTCCTATGTCACTTGACCATTTGTATGTCCTGTTTGGAAAGGTCTCATTTAGGTCCTCTGCCCATTTTTATTTATTTATTTATTTATTTTTTAATTTTTAAAAGTTGGCTCTTTATTAGCAACCCTCTCTTCACCTTATATACTTTATTATTTTTTATTTTATTTTTTTAATATGAATTTTTATTTATTTTTTTGTTACAGATATTTTACCTTTTTACCCCATTGGCACCCCCCACCCTACCCCCCCTCCACCCTGTCCCCAGCTTAGTTGTCCATGTCCATTGGTCATGCATACATGCATATAAGTTCTGTGGTTTATCTCTTCCCACCCCCCCCACCCCCATCCCCTCTTCTGAGGGATGTCAGTCTGTGCCCTACTTCCATGTGTCTGGGTCTACTGTATTCCTCAGACTGTTATGTTCATTATATTCCGTATATAAGTGAGATCATGTGGTATTTGTCTTTTTCTGCTTGGCTTGTTTCACTTAGGATAATACTTTCCAGGTCCCTCCATGTCATCTCAAAGGATAAGAGATCTTTCTTTCTTACCGCTGCATAGTACTCCATTGTGTATATGTACCACAGCTTTTTTATCCATTCATCTACTGGTGGACACTTGGGCTGTTTCCAGATCTTAGCTATTGTAAATAGTGCTGCTATGAACATGGGGGTACATATATTCTTTCTGATTGGTGTTTCAGGCTTCTTAGGGTATATTCCCAGCAGTGGGATCACTGGGTCAAATGGAAGTTCAATTTTTAATTTTTTGAGGTAGCACCATATTGTTTTCCATAGCGGCTGCACCAGTCTGCATTCCCACCAGCAGTGTATTAGAGTCCCCTTTTCTCCACACCCTCGCCAACACTTGTTGTTTGATGAGTTGTTGATGGTGGCCATTCTGACAGGTGTGAGGTGATACCTCATTGTTGTTTTAATTTGCATCTCTCTGATGATTAGTGATGTTGAGCATTTCTTCATATGTCTCTTGGCCATTTGTATGTCCTGTTTGGAGAGGTGTCTATTCAGCTCCTCTGCCCATTTTTTAATTGGGTTCTTTGTCTTCCTTTTGTGGAGTTGTATGAGCACACTATATATATTGGAAATTAACCCCTTATCTGATATATCATTGGCAATGATGTTCTCCCATACAGTGGGTTGCCTTTCCATTTTGATGATTGTTTCTTTTGCTGTGCAGAAGCTTTTTAGTTTGATGTAGTCCCATGTGTTCATTTTCTCCTTTATTTCTGTTGCCTTAGGTGATGTATCAGTGAAAATTCTGCTCCGTATGATGTCCGAAATTTTGCTGCCTACATTTTCTTCTAGAATTTTTATGGATTCACGGGTCACATTTAAGTCTTTTATCCATTTTGAGTTTATTTTTGTGTATGGTGTAAGTTGATGGTCTAGTTTCATTTTTTTGCATGTAGCTGTCCAATTTTCCCAACACCATTTATTAAAGAGGCTGTCTTTACCCCACTGTATGCTCTTGCCGCCTTTGTCAAATATTAATTGAGCATATTGCCTTGGGTCCATTTCTGGGTTTTCAGTTCTGTTCCACTGGTCTATATGCCTGTTCTTGTGCCAGTACCAGGCTGTTTTGGTTACAGTCGCTTTGTAGTATAACCTGATATCTGGTATTGTGATCCCACCTACTTTGTTCTTCTTTTTCAAGATTGCTGTGGCTATTCGGGGTCTTTTTTGGTTCCATATGAACTTTTGAAGTATTTGTTCTAGTTCTATGAAATATGTCGTTGGTATTTTGATGGGGATTGCATTGAATCTATAGATTGCTTTGGGTAGTATGGACATTTTAATTATGTTAATTCTTCCAATCCATGAACAGGGTATGTGCTTCCACTTTTTTATATCTTCCT